CCCCCCCCCAATGCCTTGCTGTAGCTAATCCACCTCTTCACTTAAGGGTGGCAGCTGTCATTCACAGAACAAGATGACGCTGTGACTTGAGAGAAGGCAGATAACCAGCATGAAAGAGGGAGAGACCAATTCTTCATACAAGCATGAGAGAGAAGTGCTCTTCAAATCATCGCTGAAGTGTTTGAAGATGGGCCTGAACTGGCTTAACCAAAGCACTAATGAGCGATGAACATTTGTAATCCTGGGGAGCACTTTCCATCTAAATGCAAAGGACTCTGGCCATGAGAAGCAGCTTGAGGCATAGAAAATTAGTGTTCAGGTCCTATGAGCTTACTAGCTCTAGGGATGCAGCTGTAATGTCACCTTACTGTAGCTGTTTTATTCCAGTAGACCTGAGACAAATTTCTAGCTGGGTCAGTTTGGTTTCTACTTGACTGTAATCAGCTTTGGCATGAAATGCAGAAGCAATGCTTCACAGAAAGCTTAAGACAAAATAGAGGAATACTTTTAGCCCTTCCTGAATGTTAGGGGTAATTTAGATGAAAATACCAACACTGTTATCTGTTCTGAGATGCTGCAGTTTAAATATCACTCGCTTTAGGAAGGCTCAGCAGATTTTTTTTTTTTTTTTTTTCTGAGCCAGAACTGTGCTGTTGAATTTATTGCAAAGCTGGGCTCTGTGGTAGCATTGCGCTGAGTTTCAGCTTGGGGAGGCGAATAATAATATAGAAATACAGGTGGGGCATTTGACATGCCAGAATAAACCTCTCAATGATCTGCTCTAGTCTCAGTTAACTCCAGGAAAGCCTGGCTCTGCATGTGGCCTGGGCTCGTTCCGGCTGCTATGGGCTAGCAAGCGAGGCATTCCAGGTGCAGGGCAGCTATAGCTGAAAAGCATTCTCCAGTTCAAGACTAAAACTGAGGGACAGCGAGCATGCATACAAAGCTCTGAAAGAGAAATTTTCAGGTATCTGGGGGGGGGGATTTGTGGGGAGGTGAGATTATGTACTGATTTGTTAAACCAGGAAAGGCCCTTCAGTGTTGTCAGTATCTCAAAATAGAATTATAACTTCTGAGCAAAAGCTTTTTTTGCTGTTGTTTGTTTGGGTGTGGGCTGGTTGTTGGGTTTTTTTTTTTTTTCTTCTTCTTTACTGCCTCCATAGCATTGTTGTACCCTAGATTCAGCCGTAACAGTCCCCCTCTTCCTCATTCCAAACTCTCTGCTGAGACTGGGATGGGTTAATCATTATTAATTAGCACCATCACCCATTTATTATTTGCACAGCTGTAGCTATAAACTAGTAGACTAGTGTATAGTGTTGATGTTTTGGTTGGGGGGGGCTGTGGAGGATTAGGGGTTTGGTTTTTTTTTTTCCCCTTCTCTATTTCTGTTACTTTAAGGCTAATTCAAGCCTGTGTGCATACCCCTCTCCTCGCCTTCAGTCCAGACTCAGTTCTCAGGGCAGCAGTAATACATAGGTGTAAATCCCCAGGCTTGCCAGCCTAAAGCTGGTTTGGATTTTAAATCCAGTAAATCACTTCAGCTGCACCTAAAAATAAGAATTACTAACCTCATGATTGCACTCTCTTCAGCACAGGTATGGCTTCGGGCTTGGACACGCTGCTTTAAGATGTGAACAAAACTGAAAAGTCTCAAAGCAATCCAGTAAAGGAGTGAGGTGACAGTTACCGGCTATTTTTTTGGGTGGGGCTTTCTGTGGTCTGATAGATTCTGCTTGCTAGAAAAGACCAAAAAAACAAAACAACCCACTTTTTTTTTTTTTTTTTTTCAGTTAAGATGCTTTATAATTGGAAAAAAAAAGTCCTCTGCTGTAATTCATGGTAGGCATTACAGTGTAAGGTTTAACATTGCTATCATTGGATATTTAAGAACAATGAGATGGGCCTGAGAACTTCTAATTGTGTTTTTATATGTTTGCATTTAACATCTCAGTCCAGCACCTTTTTTGTGTGTGTGTGTGTGTAGGATATATTAGTATTTTGGTATATAGTAAGACTTTATGCCTTTTGAGACCAGGGACTGATCACAGCCTGTGTAAATTCCAGTCTCAGTGAAGCCCTCTCAGCTCACATGCGGCAGGCATAGAGGATAGTCAAGATCTGCGGACCTGCTCAGGAGCACAGCTAGAAGTTGACTGTGGTTGTATCAGCCCCTTTTGTCCCAGAAGCAGCTGTCAGAGGCTCTATTTTTAGAATATTTAAATAATCTGTTTAGTCAGCTTTCATTCAAGCTGTATGGGTTATACACGATGTGGCCAGGGAGCACTTTCTCAAGACTCAAGAGGGCTGTAAGAGGCACCTGTACTCTGATGAGCAGGACTTGAGGTGCTTCAGTTAAGCGCATGTTCATTCTCTGACCTCCTTTCAGCTGCGTAACCACAGTAGTAAGGATGGTATTTGAAGGCATGCAGGTCACTGCTCTAAATACACATCATCACTGTAATAGTTAACAAAAGGGTCTTTTTACATCTTCTGTTTGGCAAGCTGAGCTTTCCCCTCTATGTAGTGCCACTTAACTGCCTAACACTGTTTACTTTTTTGCTTTGAGAATCAAGATGTTCATTTTCTTCTCTAAACAATGGATTGTAGGAAGGTCGTATCTCCTTTACTGTTATCTCCAGGGCAGGGGAAGGGTGTAGCTACACTGGGCTATTTTCAGCTGATCTTTGGGCACTGCTGTGAAAGATATGGGACTAGTAGGAATGAAAGCACGTATAGGTTATTCTGTTATAAAGTCTACAAATATTTGCTTAGTTTTTTGAAAGCTGGAAAAAGCATTGGTTCCAAGCTCAAATACCATAGGGAATGTTGGCCATTACTATTCGTATCACACTGAAAACAGGTAAGAATCTGTAAAGAAGAAAAGCCCTGGTTTTCTAGACCATATCACTCTGAGGCTTACTGTACTTGCCTGGAAATGGGAACTAGGGCCAACCAAAGGGAGCATTTCTTCCCCTTCAGGTTACAAAGTCTGACTTTTCCTTATGTCTAAAACTATGTGGTACACATAAGAATGCAGTAAGAAACAGTCACAGGGTAGGTATCAACTTACTGGGAGAACAGAAAAGGAGTGAAAATACACTGTCTTCTGATGTGGCTTTTAGGATCTTTGCTCCTTTTGGCAGTAGGGGAAAGAAAAACCAAAGTGAGTTTTTTCCTTTTTGAGTATTAGTATCTTCATATTTGTCTGTACGTAAATAGTCAATGTTAGAAAATACAGTGATGCAAACACAGAATCTGATGTTTTCAGTAAAGCCCTGCATTTCAGAGCTTTAAATAGTTACGGGTCACAAGGATATCTGCAAGTTCAGTCCTCAAATTCAAGGTAACCTAACATGGTGTACAAAATGAGGTGTTAAGATACCACTACTAAGCTTCTAGGTTGGCAAGCAGGGCTCATCTACGTTCACCTAATAACACAGAAGATATGCAGAAGGGCAAATCCTGAAAACTGAATGGGGGAGAAAATAAAGCTTTCACAGACAGCGCTTCTACCACCAACATTTATTTCTGTTAAAGCAGATTATAAATCATCAGTACAAATATATATATAACTTACATTTGCTTGTAAGGCCAAAGTTTAAAAGTAAAGTTAAAATGAGATGGTTTTCACAAGTCACCAGAGGCAGAACCTGGACCAGCTGCAGCCTTAACCACAAGGTTTCACAAGTCAGTGAAAAAAAATAAAACTGAAGTTAAAAACCTCTTAAGATCTATTGACAGACAAACATAAAATGGTTTCCCAGGTAGCCCCAGGATGTAGATATGATTACAGTAAGTTGTCACAGTAGTGTTAGAACCAATAGATTAAGACAAAGAAACTGCAGCAATACATGAAAGGAAAAAACCCATACTATATATAATATGTAGCTTGATTCCAATAAAAACCAGTACATTTTCCCCATGGTTTTCAAACCATGACAATACTGTTCTTTAATTTTCTCTATTTAAAACTACGATATAATGACTTATTGGTTGTGATTGTTGTTGCAATATGCTACTTACAATGAACAGATACAAGAACAAGCTAGAGCCCCTTTTTCCACCCCCGCCCCCCCAATATTACTTACAATAAGAATCAGAGATAAATCAATCTTATGTACAATTTCTTACATCCAACCCCCCCTTTTTTTTTTAACCTTTGGCAAGATTACTTACAACTCATACAGCTTTTAATATCCAACTATTTAAAATATTCTAAATGCATAAAAATAAAGATTTTGGCTTTACTTTATTCTTTACATATAATATTCACTTTGTTACTCAAAATGGAAGCTCAACTTTTTCCACAAACCCAGCTTTTGCTAAGCAGGTGACAATCTCCCATCCATATCCACCCCCCATCCCACCCCATTTTTTCCCTGAGGGGGAACGTCCAGGACTCGCAGGGCATCCGAAGGACACAAGTACAAAATCTGCCTTCCTTTCTGTGAGATAATTGATGTTTCTGCAGAACAGGCTTTGGGACTGGGTGCCTTTCTTTGCTCTGTTTGACTTCCAGCTTTCCAAGTGAGGAGGGAACGCAGACTGGGGTAGCTCCAGGACTTCTTTTAAGAACTGCACATTAAACTCTCTGTATGTTTATATCCTCCCCATAATTGCTCCCTCTTTCTAACTCATTTTCGTCTAAAGGGACCTTTGGGATTATCAAAGCAAACTGATCAGAAACAGTCCCCTCTGCTCCCTTTATCCGTCTATTCTAATGTACAATTTATCCACCCCCCCCATAGACTGCTTAAAGTTCAATCTCAAAAGTCTTCTGTAAATCACTTGAGAAGGGGTTAGTTGGAGAGGGATTAGTGCGCTGCTTTGCCTTGCTCTCTAGTGCTGCCCACTGTGCTTCAAATGGGTCTACCTGCGGAGCAGCTGCGGGAGGCTGCGAATGCTTGTCCTCTGCAGCCCATTTGCCACCGTCAACTCCGTTGAAAGCTGCAGAGCCGTTGTGCTGCGCGGGTGGATTGAAGAAAGGGCTGGTTGTAGCACTGTTGCTTTCATACTGAGGGAACGTCTGCTGTTTGACAAGACTGGGTGACTGATGTGGATGGGCTGCTGGAGTGTGGCTTGCAGTGCCAAAGACGTTGGCTACCATCTGGGAAGGTGTGATTCCAACCACAGGTACGCTTGGGGCTGCATAGGTCATTCCATTTGCTACAGCATAGGGCTGAGCTGGAATAAATGCTGGCTGCATGGGCGGTACCACTCCCACCGGCACAGGCTGAGGTGCAATGAAGGTGCTGACTGGGAAGGCTGGTGCTGACTGGGAAGCTGCTGGAGGAGGCTGTAGTAGTGGCTGTGGGGCTGGGGCTGGGGCTGGGGTTGGCTGCTGTTGGGCTCTGACAGTCTTTGAGACCTCTTCCAACCAGCGGTCTGCCTCTGAGGGAGTACGTCTGTGATTTCCTTGGAAGAGACTTGGTGAGGCTGCACCTGAGGAGGTGCTGCTCCATTCAGTGCCTGGGAAGGAAAGCATGGGGAAAATCACTAATATTTCCACTCCTCACCCTTTTAGCAGTTAGAAAGGCTGGAGGATGTACACAAGAACAGACAGGCCTCCTCCCTCCACAGTTGAAAGACTGCTACCACCACTAGAAGCATCTTTATGCATCCACTGTACTGTTCTGTTATAGGAAGACATTGGTCAAGAAGGGGTAGAGAAGAGTTTCTTCACCAAAATGCAGATTTCCCCCCCCCGCCTCCCCGCCCTCTTTTCTTCATAGCAGACATCTGAGACTTTAGGGCACACAGGAGAGCTACTGCCCGTACTCATGACTTAGTGGCAATGATCTAGTCCATAACTACTAATTCCTCTAATGTGGGAGTAGTAGTTTCTCAATGTACAGCCCAGGACTGGTGGACTGTTAGAACACAAAGCTGTAAGAAACCGTTTTTAAGACTTGTTTGCTCTGTTTCCTAAATTAAGACTTCACCTTCTAAAGGACAGTAATGTAATGGTACTGGGAGTTCAAGACAACATTTATTTTTCTGTCCCATACATACTGAAGTGTGAGTACTCACTATGATATACGTGAACGTTTAAGGCAATACATCTATCCAAATTATTATATGATATGTAAACTGTACTTACTATGCTTCCTTTATATTCTTCCTCCATCTCCGCTCACTCTTCCCTTACTCTTTTCATATATAATTCAGCCTGTTAACCTCTCAAAACTCTTTTGCAATATTCAACACTTAGCATTTTAGACTTTTCTTCTATAAAACCAGCTCTGATTTTAACTCATCTATCTTCAATGACTTAAAAAAACCCCCAAAACAAACAGAACCACCATCATTTCCATTCCTCCGTTTCAAAACTATCTCCAACCAGCTGAACTCTGGTTTTCCTTCTCCCTACAGTTTCAAATTCTCCTTCCCTCCCATAGGACCTTGCCAGGTTTCCAATGTGATAAGAAAAGCAACCAGGAACGCTAGAGATGGCTCTGCAAGTCATGTGTTATTTGGTGTTTTGGAGAAGTGGAAAACCATTACTGCTCACTAGTCTTTATTCAGCCCGATCTAGTTAAATGCTGTCTAAACATCAGTTTACTGTTGTTTTTACAGTGGGAACTGTTGGAGGCAGAGCTTACAGACTCCCTTAAGCGGGAAGACTTCCTGAAAATGGGTCTGGTACTCTTACAAGGCCAAGTAGAACCTACTATTTCACTAGCAGAGTTGATCTTACACCAGAAAATGATGTTAGTTTGATTGTAGCCTTCTAGCATACGTGGCCACATGGGTGACAGTCATTTAAAGTACCACCTTACATCGTATATAGCTATGGACAAGGACTGGAGGAACAGACTAAACTTATTGAACAGAAGAAATGAACCTCCAAAGCCTTTAAGCAACCAACTTAATCTCTCCTTACGTACGTTAGTGGAAAGAATGCACAAAAATTATTTTGGGTATGTGTACACATTGTTTCCCCTTCATCGCCAAACACATGCTATTTCATTACTTCCTTTTTAAGCACTAGATTCTCTAAAATGCTGCCAAAATAAGAATCAGTCCAGCTTATAGACCCAGAACCAGTGAGTTCATCGCTTCCCTCCATCCAATTGTGCAAAAGGCTACTACTTCCGGCTTTTGTTAGTGTTCCTTCCACTTGCCATTAAGTGGCATTGACAATTGTCTCAAGGGCTCAATTATCCTTTTGATCCAAGTTCTCATAGCAATGCACCAGATCTACTTCCAATCTTACCAGTGACCATGGCTGCAGCTCCAGTATTAGCAGCAGGAGCATGAGCCCAAGGATTGGTTTCACGAACTGGCATAGCTGTGGATACTACAGCAGCTTGGGATGGTTTAGCAGCAAGCACACAGAAGGCAGAGGTAGTGCCATTAACTAAAATGGGAGCAGACAACATCAGTGCAATTAATTCATGCAAGGCATGCACGTGACTGGAATATTAGTGGGCCATGTCATACCTATCAACATACAACAATTTTAGACCTTTCCACATGACAGCAGTTTGTGTAAATTAGCCAAATTGGACCGACAGTCAATAAAGCTAGTAAATTCCATTTCACCAAACCAACGCTTGTTAACTGAATTGTGGGATGGTGGATTTTTATGTATTTGATGAGACCTTGAGTTCTGATGACCAAATGAAGTTAAATTTATTGTTTTTATAGAGAAGAGATACGGCTCACCAGAAGTTACTGTATGATTAATTTTAGATTCAAAAGAAGAACAGATTTTAGATGCAAAGTAAAAATAACTACATTTAACAAGTAGAGGTTCTTTTTCTCACACAACTTGTATAAAAGCGTATCAGTGAAATGAAGATTAGAGGCTGCTATGAATTCTACAGCTGGCATCTCTCCACAACTTATCTAAGAGTGTGTGTGAAAAACAGTAATCATGTGGTGGCACAAAATCTCTTCCATTGTGGGATTTGGTTCCTGTGACACACAGTCAGTAAGGTATTTGCAGTTCAGGAGGCAGAATGTTAAAATAGCCATTACCTCAAAGCCAGTCCCTTTTACAGTAACTATCGTGTGGTAGGTGCATGAACTTTTTGTTAAGAACAAAAACACAGGAAAAACTAAACAGACAAGATGAACAAAGCAGGATGCATTCCCCCAAAATACTGTTAACAGGACCTGCACAAGAAATTAAGACCATGCGTGACTGGAAAGCAACATCATGTGCATTCAAGCCTCCTCCAGCATGACCACGGCACGCAAAGAAATCACGAACCTTGAAAGGCAGGAGACTGTGGTGCGACTACTGTCACTGGTTTTGTCATAGGGGCCGACGAGAAAGGATCTTCTGATGGTGTGCTGAAAGCACTGGTGATCTGAGAACACAGGGCACTAATGCTGTCTGTTTCCCCTTCTACCTCAGGGACTAAAATGCAAACAAAATTCATTAAATTGGAAGTTTAAAGGATACAGAAACAATTCACAAATACCAGTGTGAAATTAAATATATTTAGTCCCTTATGTTCCCACTACTGATTTGCCTGACAGCTTTTTTTAAAATTAGTGTGGAAGACCTGACCTGAAATAGAACACCACATTAGTGTATTTTGTGACTAAGTCAAGAGGGTAAGGAGATCAGCATTCCAGATTTAAAGTCAGTTATTACTGCTTCTCTGTGTTAATGCAAGAGGATGTTCATTTCAGAAAATAAAAGGGTTTTCTATAGCTTTAGTAGAGATCTAAATCTTTCAGTATTAAAGTGCTAAACATATCAAGGATTTGGCACTAAGATTTGGCACTCTGCAAAATGAAGATACTTATGATAGATTTGAGTGTTCCAACAACAAACTTCCACAGTAACTAGATGAAGTTTAAACATGCTGACAGCAATGCACAGTGGCAAGTTAAGTCTAGAGTTAGAATGTTGATTGCTCCAGTTCAGCGGTAGCTGAAATCCTAGCTCCTGTAGTAGAATTATGAAAAGCAAAAGCTGAACGCTCAAATAAAATGGACACTCAGTTTTAAACCAAGTATCAGCATAATGTAGATAAAGTAACATCTGGAGTAAAACCACCAACTTACCAGATGTTGTCATTATTGCTAATTGCACTGCTTTTTCAAAAGTACTGATCATCAGTCCTTCATTGCACAGAACTGACATGAGCAGGCATAATTAAGCACAAATAGTATAAAAAACATAAGATGTCTGGACACAACATGCACTGGATCTAAAATTCAGGGGGAGGCACGCCCAAAAATTGATTCTTTGAGGGATATTCCAATACAGCACATGTGGTGTGACAGTAAGTAGCACTGGCATACATGGGAACATGCATCAAAAATGTTCTGAATCATGAAGAGTTCAGATTGTAGTGTGCTCAGCGAGTATCACTAATGAGCAGCGTGCTATTACTGTAAAACTGATAAACTCAGTGCTGGTCTTAAAGCACAGGTCACCAAAGAAGAATTATAAGAGAAGTCAGACTAGGTATTTTTGCTGGTTTTGCCTTTGCTACAGTAATTTCTACTTCAAACCCTCAAACTACCTCTGTTGCCAAGTGAGAGTACAGCTGGCCTGCAGGATAACCTGGCTAAGGGGATTTCTAGGACATTATGCAAGGTACTGAGCACCCCAGGTGTTTATGTTGGGATGACTCTAGAAAACCCTATCACCATCATGTGAAAACTGTACCATGCGTTACTGATACAGCCAGCTATACCACCTAAACAGTAAAGTTTCTTTTAATGCAAGGTGAAAAGCCATTTCGTTGCTCTCAGAAAAAAAAAAAAAAATTCAGACAGGCAGAAGGACACATTGCAGAAAAGCATCACATGATCCCATGACAAGTGGTTAAGGCCTTGAAGGCATTTGTCTCTCAAGATGCCCTGGCATAAGTGGAGGAACTGGTTCAGTGACTCAGAGGGAAGAGCCAGCACCTACTAATTCACCAACACCCCATTCCTGGAGCACTTCAAGCTGTGCTCCAGTATTTCAGATAGCAATTAGAACTGTTTGTCTTCTGCATATGAATACTGCATTTGAAATTCTTGCCTATTCCCAAAGCATAAGTTTTCTCATGTGGTGATGTTTGCTCATGAGAAATGATCCACATGAGGCAGGAAGAAGGATTTACTAGAAAATAAGGAGTTATTTGAAGCCACAGAGAAGGAAGGGAGGAAGAGACAATTTAAGGTAATGTTTCACTGGAACCATTTGGTTTTACCTGAGTTTTTCACGGGGAAATCGGTCTTCCTTTGCACTGTTGAAGGCAGCTCATTTATTCGCAAAGACAACTGGCGTTTAAAAGGAGACATCTTTTGGCTAAGGGCAGGGAAGCCCCTGAAAGACCCTTGCCTGGCAAGCTGTTCTATAGGGGCATGCCTCCGTGGAATAGCGTGGGGATTGCTCATTTCTTTATCCAGAGAGGCAGCAACTTCAGCAGTAGGAGAGGTTGGTGAGCCAGAAGAAGGGGCAGTATTGTTTGGTGCAGCACCTGGTGCTGCTGTTTTCACTTCTGTTTCAACTGCTGGAGGAAATAGGGTGAGGTTAGAAGAGTAAAGCAAAGTAGTATTCAACTACTCCCATTTGTTTTGAAAAGAGAAATTGTAGGAATTAGTGTAACTAGTATTCTTCCAAACAAGTTTCTAATACCACAGAAGAAAAATCATCTCTCTACCTTCATTGTCTTCACCATGTCACTTTACATACACCCAGTCTCCAAAGCAAAGCTTACTAAGGCTAGCAACTTCTTAGAAATGATGGCCCTATAGACATATTCTTTCTAGCTATTCCTGAGACCCCGGCTCCAGAAATACTTGCAATTAAGTTATGATTAAGCCTGAAAAGTATATTGCGTGTTTGAGACCTTTACTTTGCCTCACACAGAACTACGTCCAAAATATTACTACAAACTGTTATTAAATGACTTAGGGTGGCATAGCTCAGCAGCAGCAAGGAACAGAACCCAGCTCTAGGGCCTTCTTTTAAAAGCCACCCTCCTAGCCCTGCAGAATCAGCAGCAGTAGCCAAACACACTGCACAAGCTTCAGCAGGCCAAAGGTAGCAGCAGCACTTAACAGGTTAAGCTGCATTCACTGCTCAGGCTGCAGCTCCTCCAGGAAATACATTACAGATGGATGGAAGTGTGCTGCAAGGTAGATTCCAGCCTCCAAGCTGAGAGGCCTTGCTAACACCAGGCATGTTTACAGTGAGCTCCTGTGTCACTACTTTAACTGAATTTAGCTGTAATGTTACCACCCAATCACTAGGTAGTTGCACTGGAAGCTCCTCCAACTTTAAAGTCAGCTGCTTCATTTTGCAGGGTTTTGCATAGCACCACAATGCTTCTGTCAACCAGGCCTAATGGTAGAAATGTAGGATTAAGCCTAGTTTAAATCATGACACATGATTAGAATTTCCATCTCTGGGAAAACTCTCACTTGTGTCATAAGTGAATTGGCTTTGGGGGCAATAAACACAGCTCATCAACACAGCAGGAAAAGGGAAAAAATCTCACTATCGTGGTGTGAACTCTTATTTTACCTATACTGTTTTCCAAAGGTTTTAGGAAAACCAATGACTTTTTTCATTGACACATCAACAGAATAACTAGAAGGCTGGTAAAGAGAGGAGTCACACTAGAGATTTCTGAGGAGCTGAAATGGTAGAAGGAACTAATTATGTTGTCTTGCAAGCTTCAGTACCCATGAGCTGCAGCTGCTCGTTCGAGTGAAACTTTTCTAATCAGTCTTTCTTGGAAAGGATTTCACACACCTTCATTGAGTCAAGACTTTGACTCATGCCCTCAAGTAACAAAGGCCTTGTGTTTAAGCTTCATTTACCACATTCTAAAACTAACGTATGGGAACAAGCAGATGGATGATGAAAACGAAGATTAAAGTTTTGCAATCGAGTGGCAGCATAAAACTTGCTGTGGAACCCTCTGAAACAAAAGTTCAACTCCACTGTAAAGAGGGCTATGAACAGTATTTATAATACTTATTTTTTGTTAAGCTGTAGAACTCCATTACTTGTAATAAAACTTGAGTAAGAAGTTCTACTTTCACTTGAATTTCAGAACACACAGAAATGGTGTTTTAAATGGCTAAGAAGCTAAAACTAACTCCTCTCGAATCAGTTCCTAGTTTTGAATGTAGTTAACAGTGTAACAGTTATGTGTTTTATGAAGATGGGGTTGTTGTTTTGGTTTGGTTTTTTTAGAAAGCACACTGTGATTGATCTGTTCTTCCCTCATGCAATGTAACTCTATACATACACTTTGTAACCTGCCTTAAAAATCAGAATAAAAATACATTATTTTCTAAGAAAAATGCATATCATTTTCTGATCATTTACCATAAGCTTTAGACTACAAAAAGCATTACTTCACATCTGGGAAGCTTGTTTTATTTTTATAACTTTTTTCCAATAAGGCCTTTTAGCATGTTACCTACTGTGTTCTCTGCCATAAAGCAGGCTGACAAAACAAAGCAGGAGCAGCTTTCACATATGAAGCCACCTGTACTTTTTCTAGAGGAGATGTGGGAAAATGCGCTAGGAGTGACTCTGGGAGCATTCTTCATCTTGTGAGGTGACAAGTGTCTGGGAATATGATTTGTACTTAATAAGGTTCAAGAGAGGCACTGCTGCAAGGACGTTAAGCCTCAATCCTTGCACAGGCTCCAATTCACCTCAGTGCTGGGTTTTGCTCGCTATGGACGATTGTTTAAGTTGCACCCCATACCTTTAGCATCCGGCATCTGTCTCATAATTTCCTCTCTCTCTGCTTGTTCAGTAGCTGTAGTGACCCTGAATGACCCCTCTCTAGTGAATGTGGTTCTGCTGGCATCAAAGGTGGCAGTCACTCCACACTCCTTCTCTCGCTTCTGCTTTCGCTCCAGGCATGCTGCAAATGCACAGCCCACGGCATGACTCAACCTTTCCCCCTGTACAAGACAACATTGCATCATACAGTAACTGGAACAGAAACATACATGTGCTTCAAGTATTGCAAAGTGATAACCTGCCTTTACAAGCAGAATCTAATTAAGGCATTAAAGAGAACTACTGTAATCGGCCAGCTTTTGTATGGATCTAAAATTAAACCCGGTATATAAAGACTCCCAACTACTAATGCACGAGCAGTGTTCAAGAAGGCCACCCAGAAATGAAAAAGATTGTCGGATAATCTGTTTAGTTCAACTGCTACTACGATGCTAGTGTGATAACGTGCCTGCACTGATCCCTTGCCTCTGGATACATTTGTGCACAATGAAACTCTTGTGAAGCCATCGTAAGCAGGTGTAAGTCCTGAAGGACAGGTAAGTGCTATTCTCAGATGGAGCAAGTTCACAGAGGGCTCAGGGAGACACTACCGTTGTATGCAAGCATGAAAATTAAAAGTATAATGGTGACTACTTACACCTCTTAATGGCCCTGACCAAATGCACAAGTTAGTATTAAGAGTGCCTTTTGAAAAGCACTTCCATTATTAACCAGTGAGGTCAAAAGGATCTGCTATCCAGTAACTGCAATAAGGAAAGGAAATTCAAGTCGGAGAAGTCCAGCAATCCAGCTGATACAGTGGCTACAGTTGAGTCAGAGGCACTATTACTACCAGTAGCTCAACTCATGTATTGTAATCAGTAAGTGAATTGACCTGTTATTCACAGAGGAAAATAGAAATGTTCCAGTTCTAACCTAAGTTTAACTGGGAATTTCTAACTTCATTGTTTCTCTTTAAAGAAAAATGATAAAACCGTCAAGTACAATTGCTCTGAACATGCAGCTATGTGGAGTTCACGCAATGAATTTGTATCAGGTTTCAAGTGCTTTGTATAATATAGGTGGGATTCAACAAAGAGCAGAAAGAGGAAAAGGACAGATCAGGGAGTTAAATAACTTAAGTCTACACAGCAAGAGACTGATAGAGGTAGCTTACTTTCAAACCTTCTACCGGAAAAATCTCCATCACTTAGAAGCAAACAGGATGCTAATTGAGTTCAGCTTAGCTCCATCCCTTAACATTCAGATGACTTTCCATTCAAGATAACATTCGCATACAAGAGGCTGCATTCATAACCAGGCTGTATTTACTCACTATGATTTTATCCTGGAAAAACTGTCATTGCTGTTTCAGTTTTTGGCTGTATAAATCTTCAGATGAGAATATCTTCTGCCTATTTTTAGAAGAGTAGTTCCCTCCTGCTAGAGATATCTGAGGCTGACTGCATTCTTTTATACATGTGCTGGGCACTGTTTCTCTCCACAAGACCACACCACAGAGGGATAGCAAATAATCCAGATATAAAAAATTCGAACTAAAATAATTTTCAAGGACTAAGTAATATTTTAGCTAAAGTCAAAACATATTGCAGTATTCCAAGTAGTTAATTTTTCCAAGCATAACTTCCAGCTAGAATCTTCAAGAGTTGGACTCACACCATATTAAACTTACCGTGTCCTTTACGGCCATAAAGCAGTGGCATATCCAGCGTCTCGTTGTGCCATCTCGACAGATGTATGAGAATGCCCGGTCAAAGTTCCTGTCTGGTGCGCAGAAAGAAACCTTCTCTATTGTCTGATCAACTATAAGATCCTGGAGAGAAAAAAAAATCCCCCACACAAAAGAAACGTGAGGAAATACGGAGAAACACTTGAACAAGTCATTTTCAGTGTTAACTGCAAGAAGAGTTACACTAAAAAGAGGATACCCTGATGTGGCTTTAATTATCTGTCAATGACTTCACCATTCAGAATCTATTCCCAATATGAAACAAAAAGGACAGATGACATTCTCCACCAGCCACCTTTGGCAGAAGTGCACCAAGGCACCACTTAAGAATTTAGGGACCCAAACAATTCCTAAGATCTCTCCTATAGGCTATGGAGCTCACGTTTTTGTTTTATTTTATTTTTACAGCAGCTCCGGTAGTCTTGCATTCAAAAAATCTTTACTATGGTTAAAACACCATGCTGAAATTTATGGGAGAGGTCTGCAAGTGTGAAAAGGTCTAGCAGCTGCTACACAAAAAGCAAAAGCTGATCTGCCAATTAGCTATGCAGGGATGCAATGGAAAAGCACCAGCAGCACTGGCCGTATAAAACACCCCTGATTTGTTCCCATAGATTGATGGGAGAAGTGTTTCTAAAAAGGAGATAGTATAGTTTAAGAACTATGCCATCTTCATTAAAAAAATTTTTTTTTTTCTTCAAATTGTTTCTTTTGGTTGGTAGTTACTACTTGGCGCCTGTGCTAATGCATTCAACCACCAGGAGGCAATAGTATATTCTCTTTTTAAGTCCTATACTTTTAATTACCTCCAGGGTCTGCACAACTTATTAAAATTCAATTTTAAAAGATCATGTATATGCAGTAACATTTCTAAAAATAATTCATGCATTATTATTTTTAAATGAGGCAATCAGTAGACTGAATTCACCCACATAAGTGTGTTTGTGTTCGAAACTGAATTCTTATGAGACAGTAACTTTACTGCTGATGAACCATACCATAACAGCAGCCCTGGAAAAGTCTAGCCACAGAGCAGGTATTTGACAGGCAGTCGTACTGCAGAGGGATATGAATTATCTCTACCTGCTTCTCAGTGTTGGCTTGCAGAAATCATCTTTTAGGTTGACAAAGTAAGGGTTAAATAACATGAATATAAACCAAATTAATTTCAGACTAACGAGAGTAAAATTGTTCTGATAGCCATGCCATCTTCTAAAATACTAGTAATGCTTATAGAGGCAAGCCTAAAGCTCTTATTTCTAATTGCCTACATCTAGATAAAACTAAGAATCATTTGCTATTACTTGCACACAGGCGCCTTGGTGGTACATACTGTGCTATTTCACAATTAAAAAAATTGTAAAACAATCTGGAAGGATGCCATGAATACATTAGCCCTACACTTCAGACCAACAGCTTCGACATTAGAATTAGCAATTATCAAATTTGATACTGGGTTACTATTTAGCTTGAGTCTAAATGCTCAACCCCCCTGTTTCCTTTACTCTATTGCGTTTTTAGAAGCTAGCTCTTGTTCATTCAGACCCGTTCTACAATTTGGATGCACTGAAAATTATATTGATTAACATGAGTTCACTCATGTATTACTATGGCAGCCTTCTGCAGTGGTGCAGAACAAAGTCAAGGGACTCTCCAAGTTCAATGTCAACAGAACTTATCAGGAAAAAAATGGTTCTTCCAGTAAACACAACAGAAAATATTCCAAGCTTGTGCAACCTGCCACATTTTATGAAATATGTCTTGAGAGTAGTGTGGAATTAACTGGGGAAAAAAAATTAGCAGGCATACATATGTTTACAAAGCAAGAAATGATTAAACTAATTATACACTTCAGTCTTCCTTTCAAATACCAATATTTGCATTAACATAAAGACTGGTGTCCATTTAAAGTTTAGCACATACATTATTATAGAGAGATTTAAAACTTTTGTCCAGGGAAATCTAACCTTTGTTTTCTCATCTACAACTCTGAGTCCATCCGCTGAAACCCACAGGACTGCTTTAACGGCTTTCTTCCCAGACTTTTAAAAAAAAAAAAAAAAAAAAAAGGAAAGAAAAAAAAACAGGTTTATGCCAACAGCATCAGACTGTCACCCGCTTCCCCTTTCCAAGAACTGTAACATTAAGTGTAGATGAAGTCCATGGTCAGTAGGGTGCCCAAAGCCAGATACTCAATCCAAGTTGCAAAACATTCAGAGAACCAAGCCAAAGCCAGTATTTCAGAAACAGCACGTCATGGGAATGGGGAGAGGGCACAGGACAGGTGGAGGCAAAAATAGGGTGTATGTCCACTGAGAGTAAAGAATTCAAGACTGGCCAAGTGGGTGAAGAATTCCACTAAAGAGTTGTCAGAAGACACTAATTCATAAGGAGTTACACCACAGGTAGCTTCTTTAGCACAAGTTTAAACATAGGAAAATTCTTACCTGATATTTCCACCAGCCCTACCCTCTGCCCCAATAGTCGTATGGCAGAATCATGGCATCACCTTAAACCAGTGTTAAAAGCACCCAAAAATCATCAGTTACTGTGTTACGAGCTTCATGCTAAGATCAATCATCCAAACATGTTTCACTAATTTATTAAGAGCTAAATGTCACATCTTGGAAGAGTAGTAGAAAAATATGATTTCTTAACCATTTGGTATGCATCTTGAAAAAAGCAATGGTGTGTGGCAGGCTGATGCCGCGGAGGAGAGGTCTGGCTTTTATCCAAGATCTGGCTGTGGGAACTTTCAGCTGCCGCAAGCTGAGGGTAAGTAAAAGTGGGAAAACACAGGAAAGCTTCAGGAGCCATTTAAACTACAGATTCTTTCTAGACTGTTTACTTTTTAAGGGAAAGTTACAGAAAACAGTATAAACACTTGACACAATATTCTTCTGAAACTAATTCATGGAACAGAAAATAGGTACAAGATGTCAACATAATTTTACTGGTTGTTACAGAGAACTACTACTAGAAAAACAGTATTTCTTTTTTTAAATATGTTACTTTAATTCACAAGCTCCATACTTTAAGCCAGCTAATAAACTGTAACTATTTTTGAAGTACGGGGTTTACATAGTT